GAAGCTGTGCCTCATAAAGAATGATAGACCAAAAGGGGCTAGAATCAACTGCCCAACAGCTTGGTCTCTGCTCCTGTACTCCAGTGCATTGCCAGCACTGGTAAAAACGTCCATTTGCTCTCCCCCCCCATTCTTTAATTACAGCAATATTTTGAATTCGGTTCCCTCCTCTCCCACACGTAACACATGTAAGTTACACTGGAAGCAATTTATCTGTAGGGTAGGCAGTTCAAACCCATCCCGCTCTCTTCTTCTGATACATCTTAGACACTGATCTGGAAGGGCTGCTTTTAGAAAGGAACTTGTCCTTGCTAGGAAATACCTTTTTAACTTACGACTCTACTGTGACCAGCACCACGAAGCCAACTGAAGCTTTATTGTAATACAGCCATACTGTATGCTGGAAGAAAGGTCACATCTGAAAAATGCCATGCTGGATTGCCCTGCCAGATGGTTATAAACAGCTGAATTATAAGTTTTAGAGTAAATTGGTAAATAACGTTTAAGAATGGCTAAATCAGAGACCAAGTCTGTGAGAAAAATAATTATTTGGGTGAGTATCGTAACTAACTACACTAAGCATTAAGTGTGAGACGCTGTGGATCTAGCATCAAATTAAGTAGCTTTTCTTACAAAGCTTAAGCGTTCTGGGTGGGTAAAAAATAAAGAGCATCCTTGCTAGCTCTCAAGATTTTTGTGTGGTCACATATTCTAGAGGTTTAAAGCAGCCTGAACAACTGGATGTCACTAAGACAACTTGAGCTTTTACCATTTTAAAACAGTGAATATATGAATAAAGATACAGGTGGCAGAAGGATAAAAAAACAATAGTTTGAAACTTTGGAATATCTTATTCTACACTGTTAACATCCCTACTGGGCAACAAACGTAACTCAACAGGCCAAATGCAGATTGCAGTATTCTGATCTTTTTTTGTTGTCCTGGCTTAGGGTCTGGGAGTAATGAAAAGTATTTCTTCTCTGTAGTAGTCTACAGCCTGACATAAATGCAGATGAAAAAGAAACCCAGAAGATAAAACGACTAAACGCAAACAAGGCCAGACTAGCGCAACTAGTGCTATTGCGAAGTTTGGAGAAAATGGTGCTCATGAGGCCTACCTTAAGAAAACAAGTATCCCTGCCTCATTCAGATGCAACTTTGCACAGTAATGGAAGTTAGAAAATCCCTAAACTGGATTCATATGCCCTACTAAAATTGGGCTTGAATTCAAAGCACAGGCACAGCCAAAGTTGGCTCTTTTTAGCTATCACAATGTATTGCAGCTTGCTTTAAGCTCAGTCAGCTAAAATACTTTGACGTGAGTACTTGAGCCTTCAAAATTGTATGCCACAATAAATGTTGATTCATTTTTTGACAACTCAATATAGGGATATGGTACTGCAAAGGAACAGTACATTTAAAAAAAAAAAAAAAAAGACTGTCATACAGTTACCAAGAAACTATGATGCCAGTACTTTTGTATTTAGAGTTCGCATTTTAAATATTAGATAATGATTCATAAATGTCTGCATATCGTTATTTACATAGATCAGGAACCCTGCTAGTCCTTGCTAACAGGTTTGGCTTGCTTTCCAGTTCTCTCCACCCTTCAAAAACCAAAAAGCAACCTAAAAATCCCCAACAGCGTGCTTTCTGAGCCCACAACATGCCTGTGCTTAGTAATCACCAAACTGCAAGATATTGACTGCAATAATAAAGTCCTCAAAACACAGAACGTTCAGAAAAAAAACTATCACACTGGAAGCTGGAATACGTTTCTATGAGGAAGAACATGATGCCATATTTAGCAGTTTTTAATGGGGTTTAGAAAGAATCTGAATTTGGAGAAAGAAAGGGCAAACTAGTTCAATTACCGCCATTATTATTTTCACCTAATCTTGGCATATGTATTATTTCCACAAACGTGGCATTTCAGAGCTTTGATGGCTGGTAGTGTAACTGTGATACCGTTCCCCAAAAACAAGAGAGGGAGAGGGAGAGAAACCAAACAAACAAACTCAACCCAAGCTGACTTTCTGCCATAATGGAAAAAAAACTGTAGGATGGTCTGGAAGAGAGCTGGGCACTAGCTGCGCTGCCAAGATGCTTTAAATGAACAGGTGAACAAAGCTAGTGCAAAGGCAGCTGAACGTAGGTCCTCCCGGCTGCCTCTCTGAATGCCTGAGCAAAATTCACATAGCCCCATTGCCCCCATACAAGGCTTACTTGTGCACAGAAGCTTTCAATAAAAGACAGGTGAGGCTTTACTTATATAGATGAGCGCACAGGTGCACACACAGACGCAGGCACACACAGTGCTTTTGATAATGAAGAACCCTTCTTCAGGTACAGTGCAAAATAGAGGTGAAGCTACATAAAAGAAGAGAGGGAAGCTGGAACAGCTTTGAAGAAAAGCCCTAGGGACAAAGATACTAAATGACTCCCATCCAGTTAAGGAAAATGAAATAGCCAGTGTAGTGACAACACACACTGCTAACATTATAGAATATAATATGGATTATAATGAACAGACTTTGGCAGTTACCCACCTGAACAATAATGACTGTTCATATGCCACAGCTGTGCTTAATTTATTACTCATTACTTCATACAGCATGGGCTCCAAGAACAACATACATTTAAAAAGAGTAATTCTGTTTCTAATAACTTAAATAATAAACTTGCACTTCCCAATGTTTCCTACAGCTTCTCTTCACAACATCTTTCTAAAACAGATATTGTAAATAAGTAAATATAATAACTAGGTAAATCCAATTTAGACATGGGGAACTCCAGCAGAGATGCCATTTTGCTAGGTGTCACCCTACGCGCTCCCCCAGGAAATCAGCAATTCTGCAATTGTTTTCAGTAAGAGCAGGATTAGACTGATAGATTGAGAGTATTTCAGAGTCCCTACCCAGGGCAAATTGGCAGGAATCTGACGTCGGGTTAGAACAGACCTAGGAGAGAACTAAGATTCATTTCGTCTGAATGCTAGATACCTCCCCTTTGCACATTCTGGGATTGAAGGCAGATCCTCTTTCCACCCATTATTCAGAATAGAAGTGTTATCTTTTTGTGCTCAGATTTCCATCAGCTCAAGGCAAACCACAGGAGAAAAACTCAGTGTGGCCAGGAGACAGGACAGGCAGGAGAGAGATGTTTTCACACTTTCCAGTAATACAAAACGCTAGCTGTTTCAGGAGAACGTTTTATTTCAGCATTAATCAGCCCCTGCGATATCTACTCACTTCATTCACATGACTCCAGCCTTACAATGAAATCCAGGGTGGGAGCGTTATGAACAAGCAGCAGCGCAGAGCACTTGAAACCAACTTTTTTTCTGCCCATGTTTCCATTATCTTGGAGCCAGCCTATGTGTTACTTACTCTTGGGCAATTAACAAAATAGCCTGCAAGTACTTAAGGCTTGATTAAGTGAGAAAGCATCACCCCTTCAAAATATAACACCCATATGAAGAATATTAATCTAGCCTAATCCCTAGGGTGGTTTCTACCTTTCCACTCACTCAGATTTACTAGAATTAAAAGACCTTTTGCATTTGAATATACTGCCTAGATTCCTACGTATTTATTCTACCAGTCGATTTCATGCAGCCTTAAAATAAATGTTCACAATTCTGAACTAAAAGCACAACGAGAAATGATCTAATGGTTGAAACGCTGACTTAAAATTAGGAATAAAATACGTCCTGTCACAAGTTTACTGGGCAACCACCTTTAAATGACTTAGTATCCCTATCTGTAAATGAAGAATTAGGGCACTGATCTCATTTTATGAAGTGCTGTGGGGCTTTCGGGTAGGCAGTGTATTATTCTGTTCACCAAAAAACACTACTTGCTTTACAGTATGGTGTCCCATGACTAATTATTTTTTATGGGCCTGAATTCTTCTAATTCAAGAAAAAAAAACTTTTAAGAAAAATTATGAATTGATAGTCCCTGTCTCATCTCAGCAGGTAGCAAGGATTTTTGAACTAACGCAGGACACGATTTCCATTTATCATTCAACCATCCAAAGACAGCTCACAGGCATGTTCACATCCATGAGGAAGGTATGCTTAAATGCCGTGCACCCTCCCTACCAGCAGCTCACCTAACTCCAGTAGGAGTACAAGACTTGGAACAAATAGTATGTGGGTAAATGCTGACAAGAGTTTCATGATTTCAGCAGCATCATCCCTCTGCCTCTACAGGAGATCGCAGAGAGGCATCGGTGAAATTGCACCCAAACACTGTGAGTGACTCCCCCTTTTATAGCTGATGTAAACAGCAATAGGATTGAGCACAATGTGCTCTCATCCTTTCCTCTGCTCTCACACCTTGAAGAAGCAAAAGGCACAAGCATTTCTGGATGCACACTATAGGACCACATCCTCGCAGAAGGATGTTGCAAGGTCTCATCCCTCGCTACCCAAGGAGCTGAGGGTAGCGAGTGTTGCCATGCACTGGGAGCACGCAGGCAAGATGGAGCTTGGGCAGATGTAGTAAGGTACTGGGTGTTTTACCAAGCTCCCTCTTCCACTTCCAGTGGCTCTACCATGCATGCGGCTGGTGCTCAACTCTGACCATCTCCAAATACACAGAACAGCACAAGACAGCTGCAATCACACTGGGACCTGAGGACGCTCCAAACAGATGGGAAGAAAAATAACTGCAGAGGAGGGGGAATTTGTCACTTACCCACCACTGCCCTCCAGTGGCTCACACCAAGACTCAAGGAACTGAAGACCATAATGCTGCAGAGATCTGACTGTTTTAGAGGTCAGACACACTTCATTGAAATTGCTTCACTAATGGAGAGAAATGAAAATGCTGACATCTGGATGTCATATAGCAATTCTTATTTTTAAGTTCTAGCATGGCAATCTCATATCTTGCTATGATGACATATCATCATGTATAAAAAACTGCATTCCATGAAGTATATAAAATAGCAATTGTAAGCTATGTAAAGCGAGACAACAGAAACCAAAGCAATTCCCAAGACAAAATGTTTATTTGTACTACTTTTTCAAATGAGTATCCATTTTCAATCTTTAAATAAAAAAGTACACATGTCAAGGGCCAGTCGAGTACATATCATTAAAAGATAATGACATTCCTTAGTGATTAATGTTCATTAATTGATCAGTAGTTATAAATTTAGGAATTGGATGCAAAAATTGTATACAGGGGTTAATATTTTTAGTAAGACCATCTCAGTACTAGGCAAAGCGGAGTGTCTGTAGAACAGAATTCTAATCATTCAGTTCCAGTATTATATCACAGTCTCATAATTAGTTGTAAATATTAGTGGGGAAAAAATACAATGCCAAGCTGAAAGTTCTCAAGCACTGAAAAACAAGTACAAATGGTGAAGTATCTATAGAAAGTAAAATAAATTATTTCAGTTACTGAAACCACTTTTTTTTGGAAAAAATACCATTATAGACTGAAAGTCCCCATAGAAAGCCTTTTTCCAGATTTCCCATTTAATAGGCTTCTGTACAAAACAACAATGAAGATTTAGCGTTTCAGTGGACATAAAAGGATTGGAATAACACAGAAATCATCTTAAAATATATATTAATTTACCACATTTAGCTCATATAGCCCTTTACGTATCTTACAAAATACTATTGTTCTATATACTGCATGTAAAAAAAAAAAGTTTATATATGCGCATATATATATAAAGGCAAAGCCAGCCGACTTGGTATTTAAAAAAAAAAAGCAAAAGCATAAGCATAAGCAGACACACTGTAAGTTATGTATGCTCCATGTGTGCGTTACTGTAACAAAGCTTCCAATCTTAAAACATCCTTTTAATTGTCTAAGCAGAGTGCTTTCTCCAGATCAGCTCTACCAGTCATTTCCTCAATTGCCACAAATGTCTGATATCACTTAACCTCTGGCCATTTCTGTTATATTTAGCACTAAAACAGAAGGCAGAAATAAGGCAAAACAACGTTTCCTATCCCTGAATATCTGGGGACATTCACATGATCTTCCTGAATTACTGCAAAACTCTACAGAAGCACAAGAAATGGCATTCCTGAGCTGAAGCATCTTGCTGTCTATACAAAGCTGCCCCAACACTTGCTTATTCCAACGTGATCCGGGCTACTCTAGTACAGACAATAATTATTCCCAGGCATCCCCTTTGTTTTAGCAAGTACCAAATGACATATTAAAGCTTCAGGAAGGGTTTGTGCTTGCAATTTCTGGTCTACAAACATCACTAAGAACAGTGAAGAAGGTAATGACTCCCCATATTGCTTAGAGGTTGGGAGTGGATGTTCAGACCAGATGCACGTTCCTGTGATTGGCCCAGAGTTAAGCTCTGTGAATCTCGAGGCTAACCCTCGACTCCCAGCTGCAAGAATGACTCCACTCTTTATGTGCCTAGCATGTATTTTACCACCAAGTTTACAGTTTAGTATACAAACTGTATACTTGCTTTGCTGTTTGTAAAGAAAAGCAAGACAAAACATTTCATCCATCCATCTTATCTTCTCTTGCATCAACCTTCCTAAAACAAAAAAACAAAAAAAATCGCAGTCCAGTGCTGGCAAGACAGTTGTGCATCACAAGTTCTCCGATAATAAATCAACTTAACCTCCCTGATAGAGCAAAAGTGCCCCCCCAAGATGAGCTGAGGTACCTGGGGAATAGAAGAGAGAGGCCCTCGAGAAGCTTTCAGGAAGCTTGGTCATAGAGCAGTTGAACTAGAACCCACTACAGTTTTTTCCAATGAAAGAGTAACATCAGAACTCATCATTTCCCTGTGGAGGCTGGTTCAAGACTACACTCCAGCTGATGTGTCAGTCACTGGCAGGCACTGAAATGAATGCACTCAGCATACGAGTGTACAATCCTTTTGACAACACAAGCACGAGCTACCAGGGAACCCTCCCCAAACATTCCTTGGAGTGCTGTGAGCAGTCCAACACATTGTACCTGATGGTTAAGCTAGAAAAACAGCATGCCAGTTTTGAGCAGTGGATACCCCAAGAGTATCCTTCCCCACCCAAACTATCCCGAAGAACCACCACCAAAGGTACAGCACTAAAACAAACCCTAAGCTCCAGGATTCAGAACTCCCAGGTCAAAAGCTCCCACTTGTTTTTTTGGAATGGGATTCTAGAAGAGCATAACAACGGGGAACAGCAAGAGAGAAATGCAGAAATACAAAAATGCAAGGATTAAAAAACAGAAGGGGAGATAATGAACCCCCTCTAGCATATTCCCTTTAAAACAGTATACTTAAAAACTTTAAATTCACTTAAAAATTGGTTTCAAAATAGTGTGATAGTTTGAAAGACTTTCAAAAAATCATGATAATTGTTCAATGGAGTTCATTAAAACATCCCAGTAGCCTCCTGAATAACTGCTACCACTTGTTTTCCATTAATATTCCTTAAAAGAATATAATAAAAAACATGCAAAACATTCAAATTTCAATATGTATGCACAATAAAAATGAGTTATAATAGAAAGACTCCTAATATTTTGAGGTGACTGGCTTGATTCAGCCTCCATTAAAACCAGTGGGATTCTTCCCACTGTGTCCAGTGGATTTTGGACTGGGCTTTAATGAGAGACAACCAAACATCGTTTGTGTCTTACACTGTAGGAACACACACGCAGTACGCTTGTGTATATACACTATACACGTAGTGCAAGTTTTGAATTGCTTTTAGCCAGCAAAACGACAGACACCAAGCCAACACTGCATGCTATGTCAAACTAGGCTGAAAAGCAAAAAAAACCAGTATCCACTCAGAGACATTCATGTTGTTACAGTTGCCTAGTGAGCAGCTTTGTATGAAGCTTAATGATACATCCACTTGAACGGAACATGATTTTGAAAGGCAGAAAGCTGCATTAGTACAATGCCCTGATTGATTCTATATGTGCTCTGGATGACTTTGAAGGCAGGATATCATCTCTTTGACAGACTTCCCTTCATAGCAGATTTGATATACAGCAGTGAATAGCGGAAACCTAAGGAAAGAGGAGAGGAAGCAAATGTAGCATAAGATTATTTTATAAAATTCTGTTAAATGACGGAAACAAAATAGAAAGGGGAAAGGCAAATGAAACATATACTGAAAAATCAATTAATTTTCATATTTGTCAGGCATTGATGCTGGGTTGAAAAGTGCTGGATAAATACAGACCCTACGTACATCCCTAGAATGAGTCACTCTCTCAAAAACCTAGCTAGCTATAACAGAGACTGCAATATTCATTATGGATGGCACAACCATTGACTTATTTAAAGTAAATGAGAAAGAAAAAAAAAATACTTGCATCTTTCCTTGATAATCTTACTGAAGTGCTGAACTATGGACAGAAAAGATGACTGGCATGTCAGTTAAGTATTATCTCTGAACAACAATTTGATAATATAGCTGCAGACTATGACAAAACGACATAAGGATTTGACAGTCAAGTTTTTAAAGATAAAAGTCTAAAACTGAACATGGATTTTGAAACAATAAATTCAAACTTTTTTTCTTTTTGAAATTGACTGTTTTACCAAGAAGTCCCAAATTATTCAGGCTTCTCTGACAACATGAAGAGTTATTATAGCCAAGACACTTTACAGAAATTTAATTTACTTTCTGTCCTTCACTCAGCCTTGACAGTGAGAACCAAACAAGTCAAATTCTCAGGCAGAGCTCGGAGGATTTCAGGGATTAATTATCTATTCACCAAAATACATACACAGTTTCAGTGTGGCCAAACGCACTAACTTATTTTGACTGAAATGAAAAATAAGGAGCTCTGGAGATGCTGAAATAGCTAATTGCTGAGTGAGCTGAACCAGGAGCTTCTCCTCAGGAAAGTGTTCCCATCACTCACCCTGTACATATATATCTGTGTATCTGTATACCTGTAACACACAAATGCAACGTAGAATAGAATCCCTAGACAGTACTGAGCAGTCTACATGCATGCCAATATACTCTGCTAAGAAGTGTTATACTGAGGTAACTTTGCTATCTCTACATAGCTCTGAAGTGTGTTATATAGCAATCCCTCTGTTCACTTGTGTAGACTCCTCAAAACCAACCCATTCAAGAGTACCCTTATAGCATAATGATAACAGCACTCTCACAGGCAGATACAGGATTTGCACTGTGGTGAACGCAATACTTTTCATTACTGCGCAAAAGAAAACATGGGGGAAGGGACATGCTTGCAAATTTAGTCCATTGTTTCTACGGCTTTTATTACAAGTGCTTGAAAATTAAGTGTTATGTTTTTAATTATCAGAAACATTTTGATGTCCTGCTATGAAATGCATGTTCATTTGTTTGTGCTTATTTTTGTGGAAAATAAGACAAAGACTACCAAATATTATTTCAGGTCAATCCGACTGACTTTTGATATTTGTTTTATCTCACCAGTGGAACCAGTACTAGCATAAAGCTACACAGTTCTTCTTTCAAGTAACTCAAATACTGCCAAACCCAATACTATAATGTTTAGGTTGCAAACATTTACTAGAGAATATGTAGGCAAAAAATAATTACACAAACGGTTTTGCATTTATTCACAAGCTTTACTTGTCGCTCAGTTTGTATGATATATTGGGTAGGGGGGAGGCTGTGTTTACTTTTAACATAATAGCTTAAATGTGGATACTAACATCAAATTTGTCATGCCTGTGTGAAATTTCTGCTGGAGATGGCCACAAAACATGCTGCACACCTTATGAAACAAAAACAAGTTTCCCACTGTTTTAGATACAGTACTGCCAGGTACCAGGAAGCTCAGAGAAGGGACCACTACCACAAACCACATCTCAATACATAATTCTTGCTGTTCATCACAAAGAACGTTACTCTGAACACAGCTCAGAAACACTTTACTGGAAAAGCGAGAGCAGCTACGGTACCAGTTACAGCAATGCAACACACAGGTCTGCCGCACTTCACGCGGGAAACACAGAATCAAGGCTGACTGTGGGATCACGGCCAGCAAACTCTAAATGTGTCTGACGTCAGAGCGCATTAAGAGGGTTAGTTCTACAACTGTTACTGAAACGAAAGCACTCTAAATACCACTAGGCACCAACCCTGTTTCCAAAACGCTTCTGCTGAAC